CATGACTTATTGACCTACATTCATCTTTTCCACTCTGTAGGCTCCGGGCCATCTTCTTAGGAACTGTTAGCATGCCTGTATTTTTTGCATTTGATTATTTCTGTGTTAGCATATTCATTGCCATTGTTTTGGATTCTGGTTTTAGCCCATTTCTCCATTTCTTTATAATTGGAGAAGAACAGGAGGGTTTGTTTGTTTGTTTGTTTTTTAATTTCAATGCTGTGCATTATACTTGCAGCCCATCTAGATATGTCACCTGGAAACATAACAAGCAGAGTCATTACATTTTTTTTGTGGAAGTGTGCTGTTGCCTTGTCCTGTGCTCACAAAATCCCCATAGCCCCTAGTTGATTAAAAACTTTGGAATATCTTGATGTAAATGTCCCTGAGACCCTGCCATGTATCCTACAGGACATTCAGAGAAGTGAATCCAGCTATTTTAAAATTTAGGCTTGCAGCTGGCTCTCCTTTCTAGAAGTCACCCTATACTCTCATCACCAGTGTACAGTGATGCTTTTTTTTTTTTTTTCTTTTCCTGAGTTTATGTTGTTTTATTGATGGTATCCAGGCTGATTTGTCATAAGCTGATTTCCCCTGAGTCTTCCCATCCTCTAAATAATTATGGGCCTGTTAAAAAAGCAGCTCTATTTATTCTCATTGAATTTCCTCACTTTATGAAGTCAAGCACTTGTGTGTAAATGTTTACAAAAGTGTGATCTAGCACTGTAAGTTTCCTAAACTACTGCCAGTAAGAAACCCTAAATAAAAAAGGCTATAATCACAGTTTGGGAGGGATTATGTACTAGTCAAAGTCAGAATAGAAGCTTCATTAAAATTCGTGGGTTGCAGAGGCTGCAGGATACATGGCCTAGCCAATTACAAAGAAAATTATATTTTTTAACCCCCAATTCTATCTTAAAAATACCATCTCATATTTCCCTTAACATTTCCCAGAAGGTGTGTACATCTTCTCTCACTATTCCAAAATGCCTGTCTTTGTGCAGAGAAGTATTGTCTTCCATCAGTGCAGCAAATGAGGCTTTTCCCCATGCTTTTCCTCAAAGACCAGGCAGTGGAGCTGGCACTTGATTCACAAGCTTTTGATCCATACTTAATCCTAGGGTGGCCTGTGTCCAGAGCATGCAGAACGTTGGCTATTGTGTACCTAATGAAGTAGCTGTTGGTGTACAGCACAGTAGGAGACTGTCTCACGTTCTCAAACAGCAGCTTTAGAGTCTGTCAGTGTTCCCTGGATGGGTCTTTGGTGAGAGAGGCTTGAAAGAGCTCCCAAGAAGCAGAGCCTCTTCTGATTGCTGCTCTTGCTTTGCAGGGGGCTTGCAGTGAAAGTAAAATTCAGCAACAGGGTTTTTGGGTTTCATCCTAGAGCTACTTAGGCTGCACCATCATTCACAGCAATGTAATCCCACAAAATATGATGTGTAATTGCTCATTTCAAAATGTTCTCTTACACCACCGTAGATCAGGATAATGTCCTCTGAAAGCAGTGAAATTATTTTATTTAGGGACAATATAATTAAAGTGACAGGAAAGCAATGAAATGTAGCAGTAATGAAATACAGCTGGTGACAGAAATGTTTCAGTCTTCCCCTGCTTACAAGAAAGATGTTGTAATCCTGATTGCCTTACCATGCAAGTGTAAAGCAGTCATAACTCTGGGAAGGTGCCCACAAGTGTGACTTGCTGTGGCAAGCTTCAGGCAAATCTGATGTCCCATTTAATTTCGTTATACTATAGAGAGGGTTATAAGAAGCAAGAGAGTGAGTCCAAAGAAGAGGGATGGAGGTTACGCTGGATCACCATTGCAGACTGAAGTCCTCTAGAAAGAGCCTGAATCATCTCAGAAACTTCTTTGGAAAGGAAGGGGCTTTGGAAAAACTAAGAGTGATGTAGTCTTAGCTCTTCTCTACTGTTGTGTTTCACAAGACTTGAGTGTTTCTCTCCAGACAAGCTGGGGCAGCTCTGCTCCTGCTGCCCAGTTCCTTGATTTGGCACCTTGAAGAGTGTAGCAGGCCGTTTGCTACAGAAAGCCTGCTTTGTCATCAAGAGCAGGATGTCAGAATCACTAATGTAACATGAAAGGACTGATAGGAAACATCAGCAATTCCTGCTAAGCAGAGCAAATCATAATAATATTCAGAGAATAAAGCCAAAATAACACTGAACCTTTGACACTTTTAAGAAACTAAGCAGTTGAATAGGGAAAACATCTGCAGAAGTTTTTAAAAACTACTCTAGAAATCCTCAGCCTTGTTGAAGCATGGGCACAGCTCACTTGGGCAGAAGAATAGGTTATTGTTAGTTAGGTGTTTTACAGGATTGTCTGTCTTCTATTGCTTCTCACACATTAAGTCTCAAAGTGTGTTACAGGGTGGCAAATATCATTATTAAGAGGCCAGATAAGCACTCTGAGTTGGTAATTTGCCTGGGGTTACCCAGAAGCAGAGCAAAGGACTCCAGGATGCCTACTTAGTATGTTATTCCCTCGATCTGTGTTTCCTGAGAAGAATCCACTTGGGGAAGGTTGGCACAATATATTCACATGGACAGAGATAACATCAAAGAGTTTAACACCTCAAATTGATGAAGTCGAAGCAGAAGCACAGAGGGATGCATTAATTTTCTTCTAGTCTCACAGCAGGTTGACAGAAGAAACATGGCCCCAAGCCAGGTGCCTTGCCTTGCTGACAAGCAGCCCATCCCCAGGCCAGACTGGCTCAGCCAGGGTCTGAGCTCACACTCTTCCCTCCTGAGCTGACACCTATTTTCACCTGTAGGTGGAAGAGAGAAGTGATAATTTGAGATACATTTATTTTGCACGAGTGAAGTCCTCGGAACAGACAGCAGAAAAACTTCCTGGCAAAGGGGAACAAAATAAGAAGAGAATTTAGAAACGTCATACCATGTATTTCACATTTGGCAACTTGTTCTTCAGAGTTAAAACAATTTCATATGTGCCCTTTGAAAGCATGAGGCTGCACGCCTGAAGAAAGCACCAATTTCCCTTATGTTTTGAGCAGGGAGCCATATGTTTTCAAAATTAAAAAGAACAATTAGTCTTGGAGCATTAAATCTGCCCATCCAGACAGCTGACTAGCTTTCTCACAGAGATGGCTGTCCCAGAACAGACCTGAGGAAACAAGGCTTAGAAATGTAAATGTTAGAAGGTGTGCAGCAACATAAATTAGGAAAAATGACAATTTTAATTACTTTCATCTGCTGAGTTCCCAGACTAACATCAGTAGTTACATCTGTTAGGTTGCTAGCAGGGTGAGGTACAAAGGCAAAGGGGAATGGAGACAGTATAGGCTCAGTCCCCATGTTGATAGTAGGATATGCAGTGAAGCATATTACCAGATGCAAGAAATACCTGATAGAAACAGGAGCTTCCCAACATCTCCCTCAGATATGGAAAGGACCATGCAGGGGTAGCTGTTAGCACAGCAGGAGCTTCCAGGCCTCTGGACTCTTAAATCACATCATTCTTACAGACACTTCTGGATTCTCTGATTGAAGTTTTCCTATTTCATGTGGAAGGATTATAGATGGAAGGAGGATTAATGATAAAGTGAATCATGTGAGAGTGAGGGAATACCCACACGATGAAAGAAAGAGTGGCTGGAGGAGACCTTTTTATTTTAATGGATTGTGTGGAATAGAAAAATAGAGATTTAAGGCATTATGGTGCCTAACATTGTCCTTAGATGCACAAGGTTTGTGTGTTGTCCCTGTTTTGACTATGACATCACTGGGTTAAGACTGTGGGGTTTTTTTTAGATCACCTAGCACAATATTGCCCTGGTCTTTGTGCAGTCCTGGAGTGAAAACATTAAGGATGATTGTTTTTCATGACAGAGACCGTGGCAAAAGCTGTACTTACAAAGAGGTACAGTTTATCTGATTCAGTTGCCTTTTGTTTAAACAACATATGTTCATCTTAGTTTTCTGTTCATTTCTTTTTTTTTTTTTTTTTTTTTTTTAAGTACTATGTCCAGGTGAGCAATGTCCCTTTGCAGTATTTGACAGTTACTTTTGTGTCACTCAAGTAACTTAATAAAAATAAGATTGTATGTAGCCCCAAATGTCAAATACATCATTACAATTGGTTTTCAATGTCCATGCCAGTCTGGTAGTTTTGTGCTCGACTGCCACCATGGAGCAAGAAGTAGCAAGGCAGGGCTTCATTGGTATCAAGCACTGGACAGCACTCACATCTAGCCATTTAATAGGCAAATGCAAAATCTATAACTCCGTGTGACGAACCACATGCTATTCCTTTCCTAGTGTTCTTTCTGTTCTGCAAATCCAGATTAGTTTAATCTGTTTCACCAAGAAATGTGCAGACTAACAGAATGTCAGCCTTCAACTCTGCTGCATGTATGAGAAGGCAAAGAGGAAATAGGAGCACTGGTATGCTTTTTCCATACCATTCATTATTATATGGAGTCCTTTCTCACACCTGTTCTTAACTGAGTCCCCTATAGTATGGCCAGATTTACCTTAGTAGTTGTTTTGCTGAAAAAGAATGGAAGCTACTTTACCATTTCACTAACCTGCTTTTAGATAGTTGTCATTTCCCTTTAATTTTGTGCTTTTTGTGGTGTATCGGTAAGTAAGAGAGAAGGAGTTACTCTGGAATTCTCTTTTAAGGTCAGATACATTCCAGGAGCAAAGTTCAAAAACATTATTTACACATAATTCTGAGAAATATGTTACTGTGGTTGCTTTCTTATTTAATTGGATTGAAACAGAATCCAACAGCTGATATGGGAATACTTTAGTGTCAATATAGGCTATTTTCTGACTCACCTTGGTGGGTAGACTATGTGTGTCTCATTACGTGAAAGATGAGTGCAAGAGGTTTCTGTTTAAAAAGCTACAGTTCATGTTTGTCATTTTAGCTGAACAGGAAAGATGGGGAAAGTAGAATGGAGTTCCACATCTATGAGCTAATTTTTCCTTTTCTGAACTCTATTTTGCAGGTGATGGAAATTAAAGGACAAATGATTCATGTGCCAGAATCAAATTCAATTTTGTTCCTGGGTTCCCCCTGTGTGGACAAGCTGGATGAACTGATGGGACGAGGCCTCCATCTTTCAGACATACCGATCCATGATGCTACTCGAGATGTCATATTGGTTGGGGAGCAAGCAAAGGCCCAGGATGGCTTGAAAAAAAGAATGGATAAGCTGAAGGCAACGCTAGAATGCACACACCAAGCCCTGGAAGAGGAGAAAAAGAAAACAGTAGATCTCCTTATTTCTATTTTCCCTGAAGAAGTGGCTCAGCAGTTGTGGCAGGGGCAGCAGGTTCAGGCCAGGAAGTTTGATGATGTCACCATGCTCTTCTCGGACATTGTTGGCTTCACTGCCATCTGTGCCCAGTGTACTCCCATGCAGGTCATCAGCATGCTGAATGAACTCTACACGCGGTTTGACCATCAGTGTGGATTCCTGGACATCTATAAGGTAATAGCTCGAGCCCTGAGTTACCAAAACCTAATTGAAACTAAGATAGAACACAGTCCCTGTAGCCATGCTCCTAAATTGCAGGAATATAAAAATGAAAATACAATGTTTTTGTTTTGTGTGGAAAAAAAAAAAAATCTGAAACATGCCCACTGCAAATCAAATACTTTGGTGCTGAGTTGTCATCATGGTTCCTCCATGGGAATATATGCCTTATATTCTCATTTTCCTATAGGAACTTACATGTCCTGAATTATAGCCTGGTTGCCTTTAGGTGACGCATGAACCACAGTGTCCTAAGGATGATGAAGTGCACAGTGATCCTAGAGAAAGCTCCAGCTCCTGGAAGACACATAAATACTTCCTGTTTTGCTGAAACTTGAATGTTTTAGGGTTTAGGAACTTACCTTTCCCCTTGACAGAATTCAAATTTTCCATCAAGAGCAGAGCATTCACTAGAAAAATTACAATAAAAGCTTTAAACTTCTACTGAAAAACAAGAAGGCAACAGATGTCCATTCATAGTAAATGGAAGGAGTGGGAGGTAGCACTGGGGAGCCATGCTCCTTTACTGCTCTGCTCTATGTGTTGGTCCTGTTAAAGACTTCATCACCTTCACTTCTTGTCAGTGGATTTCGTGTCCAGTACGCATTTCAGAGAAAAAAAAGAGGGGGTAGAATTTAATAAATACAGTTAAGATATTAACCGTGTAATTATTGTGTGAGAGCTACAAAGAATATGTTTTGCATATAGGATACCTTTAATTTTATGATAGAAAAAGCAGAGCAAATTTCTTTTATGAATGAATGCACCAAAGGAAAAAAAAAGGCACTTGTAAAATTTTATGTAGATGTAATTTTCTGTGTGAGGCTTGCAAACTAAATCACATTTTCAAACTGTTTCAAAGAGTATTGATAGGGTTTAGAGAAAAGGTCTTCAGAATAGTGCTTTCGCTTCATTTTTAACCTGTAATACACTTTAAAAGACATGCACAGATATTAATTACCCACTTAAATAACAATTGTGGTTGAAAAGTTACAATACATGTCACAGATAGAACTTACCATGGTATAGATACAGGTTGGTAGGACAGTATATCAAGATAAAAGAGCACACTGTAAATAAGTTTTCTGCCCCTGTGCTAGAGGTTTGCATTACTAATGCTCAGAAGCCAAAGACTGTATTGGAAGAGGACTACAATGGAAGGTGCCAACTCTCATTTGAAAATTGTTACAGTGATACAGTCAGAAAATATTGGAGGTTTCATCTCCTTTTGTATTAATCTGATGTTGCTGCACTGGATCCTGAGCCAGCTGCTCTGAGAATGGGACTTGAGGAACTGCTAACATACAGTCCTGAGTGATACCTAGTGACCCTGTTTCACATGCTGCATCTGGTATGTGGGTGTACTTAGTGTTTTCCCAAATGATTAATTTTAGTCAGCTGTTTTGAGGTATTCAGGACATACTTGGTTGAAAACTATGGTTGCATGGGAATAAGAAATCAAGTATGTAAAAGTCTATGACCTGTTGGTTGAGTCCTGTGAGAACAGTAAGAAGAAATTTTTATACATAGGTCATGAATATTCTGTCATTTAGACTATGGCTTTCTGCTTTTACCTGACTTTGTGCCACTTCAGATAGAAAGATGTTGCTCTATGGAAATGCTGTGCTGACCAGTGAAATAAGATGACAGCTGCTGAGACAGGCAGGATAAGATTTATGCATTCAGAAAAGAAAGAAACTCTCCAAGAAGTTAAGACCCACCCATGTAATTCCAGGAGCAGAGGAATAAAACCCCCTATTTTAATATGAAAGGATGTCTTATCTTAGACCTCCAACAACCTTTCTCCACTGTTACTGCCTTAATATAGCCAGCTCTTTCATCTTGGGTTTTCCTCCATCTCCCTACTCCCCCATGTCCCCTGAGCCTCACTACATGTCCCCTGCTTCCCTCCACAGCACACTCAGCAGCAAGGCAGTGTGTGCACTGTGGCCATTTTGGAGCTCTATGTACTCTTTTTTTTTTTTCCTCCCCAACCTTTCTTTTTTTTTTTTTTCATTTTTTTCTTAAATAAAAGTCTAAAAATGTTACTGTGGGGTTAGGTGAAAATGACTCAGTTCAGCATTACAGAAAGACAACACTCAAGCAATGAACACATTTTCTTTTCCTTAAGGAAAAAGGCTTAAAATAAAATAACAATTCTTTTGAAAAAGCATTTTCATTTTAAAATAAAAATAGCTTGTGTGTTTATATCTTTTTCGTTTGTTTCATATGATATTCTGGAAATTAAGTTTATTGCTAGCAATGGTCACCACCACCACAACTGTAATTCTAGAAGTTAATGTCAGGCAATGAATTGTAGATATGTAATCACCACTATTTATACCCACAGCCTGCCTCTAAGATATACTCTAACTCAGCTACAGAAATTTATCATGTGACCTATATATACACCAAAACAGATAGCTTTTCAGATTTGCTAGTTTTTAAGCAATGTCACAAGAATAATTTGCAAAGATTATTCGGTGAGTACTTCTGAATACCAAATTCACCATTTTGTAAACAGAAAATTGAGTAAAATTCATTAAACATATTCTGTGCTGTAAATTATTCACCCAACTTTACTGTTACAGCATTTTCAATTCAGAAGCTCAGAGCTGCTAATCTTGGACTCGGACAATGAATGTAATATTTTCAATTGTCTCATCCTATTCATTCAGGGATGTTTACAGAGAAGCACGGCACAGAAAGAAGAACAAAGATATTCACATTTAACAAGTCAGACACAGAGGGCAAGCATAATGAGCTGTTGGGCACAGAATAAGAAATGTTTAGAGGGGGATGAATTAGACTTAGAAATTTCTTGAAAATTAAACCAAGATATAACTGATGAGGTATGGAGAAGATATGCAGTGGATGGATGCAGAGGTAGGAATGAGACAGACAGATGATGGGCTCAGAAAATGAACTTCACGGCAGCATTTTGAATGGATGCCAAAGAGGACAGATGACATTTGTCCAGGCTGAGGGACAGCACTGCAGTAATTGAGATGCACAGTGATACAAGCCTGGGTGACAGTTTTAGCAGTCTGGAAGGATCTGTGTTTCAGAGTGAAACTTTAGAAAGAATCTGCTTACATATAGCCTTGATGAAAAGATCAAGAAGGACACTGTTAAGATAGTCACAGAAGGGAGAGGACTTAAGAGACCTGAGACCTAGCAATAAATTTGGAAACTGGTGCTGCTGACTACCTGAGCTGGTTACATTTGGCTTGGACTCAAAGAATGGGAGAAAAAGATGCTGTGAAGCAGCAAGTGCAAACCAAAGTAATGTAGATGCAGGTGCTTGGTAAGCTAGCGTCTGTGGACATGCAAGTAGAAAAATGGACTGTAGAAGCAGAAGTAATGGGAGAGAGATCTCAATTAATTTGAAAGGAATTGCTTCGGGTAAAATATATAGCATTTATATCTTTGTTTTGACCTGTTTTTTTCCGTATCTGAGTTCCTGTTCTTTATGAGCTAATTGCCAGGAAACGATGCTTGAGCTAAACCATCTCTTTATCAAATAAACTCTTTAGATATGCTGCAGTCATGGCTGCTGGCATTTAAAACTTAACCCTGCAGACTGAAATCTCCTCTGCCTAAGATTTCCTGCAGCTTCTCTTTTTCCTTCCAAGTAATATGTCTTTGAAATAGGATCATTTTAAATATTTTTTCTCACTGAGTACTTTTGCCTGTGTAGGCCTGTTTTCTCAGCTCTTTTCCCCTCAGTTTCCTTTCTGAAACAACCCCATTTTTCTCCCTCACCCTTTAACTACTGTGTAAAGACAGCACATACTGTGCCTGATTTTTTGGCCATGCATGCACTGACTGGGTGGCTTTATATGCTGGCTGGCTAATGCCAAGCCAGATAGAGCAGAACCAGGCCTGCTTCTGTAGGTGTTAATTTCTTTGTCCTTTCTCTGGACAGTGCAGCATTTGGCCTTGAAGACATTTGCAGATTTTCCCCTAACACTAAGCTGCACTTTCTCTGAAGTGCCGAGACCCACTTTCCATGTCTAAGCAGAGAGTCCTAAATGTTTTCAACAACAAACCATTGTCAGCTGCGAAAATTTTTTTTGCTATACCTCTTTGTGGTCAAAATTTTAATTGAAAGTTTATTGATATTTATTGAATAAGACAATTCCACAGGTTGATTTCATAGTTAAAATTCAGAAATTTGATATATGAATTTCTGCTTTCTTTTGGCTTAATTGTTTAGCTAAACTGACTCTCTGCGTGGTGCCACACACATGCTTCAAAGTCCTTTATTAGCTTCCTTGGGATTCTCTTTGGCTATTATTCCTGAACAATATTACTTCACTTACTTTACACTGAATGGTAGTATTTTCTTGTTTGTTTTTTTTTTTTTTACTGAATGATACGGTTAATATGTCAGAACTTAATTTTCTTATTTTGTACACCTAAGTGGCTACAGGCTTAAGTTTTGCTCCGTGTAAAGACGTGAGACTACAAAAGGGTAGGGAGTCGAGACTGCTCTGCAGTCATTCAAGACTGATACTCACCAGTTCTGAAAAATGTTGTTTATATTGAGGTTGTGATATAATGCTTTTAGGAACCTAATTTTGAACCCGTATTTTCTAAAAGTATTACTTTACATTTTGATACTGATAGTTTAAGTCATAGAAGTCAGTATTTATTTTACAGAAAAGACTAGCACTTTCCTAGTGCCACAACTATCCCTCTTTGTAAACTGGGATTTGCACATATGTTCTTAAGCTTACTGTCAGTGCTGTAATGGCTAAAAAATGCTGCAATGACAGGAGTCATGAGCTTCAGAGTATTCTGAGGTTTTCCAGACCTTATTTTTCATGAGTTAAAACCCACAGTTTCCAAGTTTTCATGTAAAATCTATGACCACTGTTTTTGTCTTCTTTCCATCACTTCTGAAGTTTTAAACTTTTAAGTTCAGTGCAACCACATGGTCGTTTTGAGAA